CCAGTTCTTCCTGATTTATATCTAAAGAGACTTTAATCTTTTCACATTCACTAATGAACACATTCCTATATGCTGTTTTAGTCTACATTCTTTTGGCCCTTTCTTTAATGCCAGCAACGCCTAGCATTTCGCTATTTCAGAACCCTCACATCTTTTCATCCCCTCTGATGGTCTCAGCTGCTTTCATATTTTAACGGATAACTGTATTTGTAGGATAGTTGAGCTTTTATCCTCCTCAGACTCCTAGAAACAATGAGTGCTACAGGCAAGCGTGTACTCAAAACCTTACAAGGACTTATTTAAATGTTCTCTCCTACATACGGGTTCAAAGTACAATTTGTGCTAACAATGGAGGCGATGATTAGAAATGCTACAGCAGAGAGATCATGAATCTCCTCATTTCCCCATAAAAGCTGCGAGACTATGCTCAGAAGGATATAGCACAAGCAAAAGTGATTAAAAAGTAGTTTGCGTGCAGGTCAGATTGGATGTAAATCTTAGCTAAATATTGACTCAGACACATAAAAAGCCACATAGGCCGTAATTCTGCAAGGAACAATACAGGAATTCTAAGATTAACATGTGTTTACTTAAATCACTGGTTATTCTGAAATATGAATTTGGGCTGGCCAAACCACAGAGATGCCAATGAACCATTATATCACACCATCATGTATTCTGTGTATGCAACATATACGTTAATTATTATTTATATCCCTCTTACTTTACAGTCAGGTGTCAACTATATTCAAGGCTCACAGGTAGCCATAACCCCCACTACTCTAAAATAGTTTTCGATACCTAAAAGTGTCACAGTTTAAAAATCTGATTCCTTGAGATTTTCTGGAGCTAAGTGTGAACATTGTGTGTCCTATTAGGAAGCCAGGACTCTCTCTCATTTCCAGTTCTATAAAGCTCTCACATCTACTCCTGCAGAATCACGTAATATTGGAATTTAAACTGGTCTTACTAGTATGTGTGCATTTAGAATTGTATTATTAGTGCTCATTTGAAGCTCTTTGCTGAACTGCTTACTCAGGCAAAACTCCTATTGAGCTCAATGGGAGTTTTGCCCATATAAGTACAATATCTGGCCCTTAGTGAACACAAATGTTTTTGGGGAAAAAACTGGACTGAGAGCTCTGAACATTGAAACCTCTTTATACACAGAACAGGGCCAACACATGCAGGCTCCTCACACTACCCCACATAAAGGTATATGGTGCTTCACACAGAACATAAAAGTTGTACGGTCCCTGCCCTGAAGAGTTCACAAAGCCAACACACAGACAACATAAAACTCTGGTCATAATAGCAAGGGAGGGAAGAGGATATCAGTGGTCAAGGGAGACCATGGGAGAAAAGATTCTTTAAATAAGTGGGTTATCAACAGAGTCATGAAGGAGGAGAGAGAAAACACTTTGTAAACAAGAAATTGAGCAATGTCCCAAGCACAGGAGGCAGTGAAGGCCAAGAATTGGTAAGAGACACAACAAAGGGAGCAGTGAGCAGGCAGGATTGTGAAGGAGGAAAAAGGAAATGAGAGCAGGGACATAGCTGGGACAAGATTACACAGGTCTTTGAAACCTAGCCTGAATTTGATGCTGTAACAAATAGAGCGTGAGTGACAGAATAGAGTAGATAATGTATTCAGAATGGAGGCAACTTACCTTGGAAAGACTGGAGGCAACTTACCTTGGAAAGACTGAAGTCGGAGAAGTGACAAGAAGGGAAACCGTAGAAGTTTGCAATAGAGGATTTGGAGTGAGGGTTTAGTGACGCGAATAGTGAATGAAGAGTGGGTTTTGGTTATATTAAGAGGAAGAAGTAACAAAAACTTAGAGAGAAACCAGATGCAGTGAGGGCAGAGAAAGGAGGGAGAACAGGAAAGAAGATGGCCCGAGGAAGGACAGTGAATTTAACAGCAGTAAAGAAAGGAGGTGGCATAGAGAGTTTAGCAAGAGAAGAAAGACATGTAATGAGATGCACTATTTCTCTAGCTTACTGCATACATTGATAATATAATGCAATATTTCATAGTGATATTAAATAGCTCTGCAATCGTTCCAAGAAAGCGGGATACATCTGAGATTCTGATTAACATTTAAGAGCTCTTTTCCGTACTGTGTATGCAGGGTGAAAAGGAAGACGCCTGAGCTACATGAATGGACATCACTACTTCCATTAAATGGAAGCAACACCTAAGGCCACATCACAACAGACTCATCACCCTATAAATTCTATTTTTAAGATATTATTTTATAATTACAGCACTTGACATGGAAATGGTAGCAAACAAAGGAGTCTCCCTTTTATAACTAAATAAGGGGTAAGCAGCAGAGTAATTAAAATTCCCCGTTAAAAAAATCACTCTTGATATTAAACAGGCAGGATTTGTAACCTAAGAATCTAAGCTGCAGATCAGCGCTTCTCTTATAGATTATGAATGTTGATTAATGACCCACCGGAAACCATGGGTAATTACAGGACATTTTGCATGAAAACAACTATGTTTAAGGCTGCAAGCAATATCTTCATCCAATCTGATTAAGACATTAGAGTGATTTATCAAAATTAAGAAACAATTTGCAAATAAACCAGATGAGCTCAACCAATGAAGATCTGCATGATTATCAACAAACATGACCTTTTCTGTGGTTCAAGCTAATCTAAGGGCATTCTCAAAATAATCTGGTTTCTAAATGTTCACCAATGAGATTGTTATTGAAACTAGGGAGTCTTTAAAGTATTTCAGAGAGAGCGAGAGAGAGCGAGAGAGCGAGCGTGAGTGTGAGCACAGTGATTGGTCAAGCAATTTACATAGGTTGTCACGGTAATGAGGAAGAAATTAAGCTAAAATTTTGAAAGGGCTCAAAACTTCCCCAAAATCCCAGTCTAAAATTTCATTCTAGGTACTTCTTTTGGTGGTCTCAATGCAGCAAGTTCCAAAACCCTGCATCCAGCAAGAAAAACCATTAATTGACATGCATCACTGGCCGGAAAAAAGGAGTTCTGAATATTAAAGAAGAAAAGGGGTGAAGAACACCTCTCCCCTGCTCACATCTAAATCAGGCATGATAGGGAAGAGGCACACACCATTTGAGATGTCATTTCATCTGAGACTGGAGGATCACGGTGCAGGTAGTCAGATGCCTCTTGTATATTGATGCATTAAAATTGCATACAGGGTACTTCCTAGTGTGAGAGGATAATTATATGTAAAGATTCCTGTACAATTTTACTATGGGGTCTCAGTGACAGGGAGAAGATAGAGTTAAAAAGTAGAGAGAGTCAGAAAATGATTTTTCCCCCTTATGAAAATTTTTCCAAAAATGATAATTTTTTGAAAATATTTCTTAGATTTCTTTTTTTTTTGGTCAAAAACCTAAAACCACTTTTTTTAGGTAACTGCAAACATAAAAAATTAATTGAAAATGGGATTTTTTGGAAGAAAATGTAGGTACAAGGAGAAGTCATTTTGCTTCAGTACAAATGTTTTGATAGAAAGAGCGTCCCCAGCTCTGTTAGGGAGTTATGGATGAAAAGTAAAAGTAACTTTCTATGATGGTGACAAAAAAGTGAGTCTGGATGAATTATGAGATGTTGCTAACTACCAAAGATGGTTCTAGTACAAGGGGAATTTGAGCAAATAAGATCTATATGTAGATGAGGAACAAAGAGAAAATGCCTCGGGCAGAGGAGGATGGGGGAAAAGAAAATGTGTGAAGCAGACTGTTAGACTGAAAACTGAAATTATATTGTCCAGATCCACCCTGAACCTGAATGCCATGTGAAGTGCAGAGAATGGGAAAAGACATTTGTGGGTGGAAAAAAACTTTTTGTTGCTTGGTATTAAATGCTGATATAGAACAAATATTACTTTTTTTTTACTTGATTTTCAGTTACTTGGACCCAGTGTAATCATTTGCTGCTTAAGTATTAAATGTAATACTTTTAATGCTCTTTCTAAGGATGCAACACAATTCTCACCGATCAAGAAACATATATTATTCTTGTGATCAGCCAGATTACTGGTGCTCCATCAGACCATAAAAATGAATGAAGAGATAGCACTCAAGCACTAGTCACGCTAGGAGGAGAAGTGAATAGGAAAAAAAACAAAAAACATGCTCACCTTGATAATGAAAATGTCTCCAAGATTTGTGGCTGCTGAACACGTATGAATGCTGAACTTCCCAAATCTAACTAACAAGACCAAGAATTGGACAACTGAATCCTCTTTCCTTCTGCACTTAGTTTATTGAGTTTAGTTTCAGCTCTGTAGAGTTTAAAGCATCATGACTGAACAATTTCAAAATCAATTTTAAAAGTACAAAATTGGCTACACTGCTGCTTCAATACAGCAGAACCTCAATCACACACATTTCATTCAACTATAAACTTTATACTCCATGCACAAATTTGGCCACTCTTCCTCATCTCTTAGCAAAGATGTAAAAGCAGAGAGTTATACAGTGAGGTTAGAGAACAGTTCTATAGTGAGGTGTTACAGTACAAAGGGTTTACCTATATAAAGGCCAGAAAGGAAATAAGAAAAATGTGTTTTCATTCATCCTTTTGGATATTTCTGTGCATGTCTGTATGTGGACACTTTTAAGAGATTACTCTTCAGAGATTAAGAGTGTCCTATTTTGATTCAATTTAAATTGGTGTGGATTAAAACCAAGTTTTATTATTTCAATTCCACATTGTGTGTAAAAAGGCCCAAGACTGTTATTTGAATAAAAATTACTCCAGCAGATTCACTAGCCATTATAAATCACAGTCATAAATTATTAAAACCCAACTATGATCATCAAAATATGTGAAAAAGTAAACTCTGTGATGCATTATCTAGCTTTTCTATTGTGTTTTTCCACTGGTTAATTCTCACAATTCAGTAGCCTGCACTGGGCCTTTATTGTAATTCTACAGTTTCAATATAATATGGATGGCAAATATGGAAGTACAAGTATATTTTACCTGTAAGGAACACACACCTGACAAAAGGCAATCTTCACATCCAGGGTAGGTTCACTGCAGTAGTACAAGAAATGGCGGCTCATAAATACCTGCAATTTAAAAAAAAAAAAAAAAGTCAAAATCACATGCCTGTTGCTGATTTGGAATTACAATTTCTATCCACCTGATTTCACAGTATGAAAACAACATGTGAGTTATTATTCAGTTATGCGAATAAAAGAGATTGGGGTGGCTCAGTGGATTGGTAATAGGCTCCAGAGCTTTCAAACCACTAGGAAAGGTTACCTGTTTAAACACAACCTAGCTTGTAGTAACTTGAAATCATTAGATCAAAATCTGCCCTACATGCAAGCCAGCAATTCCCCACACTAGCAGGAACGAAATTGAGCCCTTGGAGCTCAGTGGCCAGAACTGCAGGGACAGCGGAGTTACCTTCATTTGGTCTATTGACCCATCATGAGAGAGTCTATGGTTCTTCCTTCAACTCCTACTACTCATCTCAGCCCTACTGTGGCATACTATAATTCTAAGGGTATGTCTACACTACAAGAGTAGTTCGATTTTAGTTAAATCGAATATGTGCAATCGATATTAGAAAGTCGAACGTATGTGTCTACACTAAGGACAGTAATTCGACTTTGTCAGTCCACACTACCAGGGAAAGCGTCGACATTGGAAGCAGTGCACTGTGGGCAGCTATCCCACAGTTCCCGCAGTCCCCGCTGCCCATTGGAATTCTGGGTCGATCCGCCAATGCCTTCTGGGTAAAAAAATGTGGTGAGGGTGCTTTTGGGTAACTGTCGTCATCCGTCAGTCACTACCGCCCTCCCTCCCTCCCTGAAAGCGCCGGCGGGAAATCAGTTCGCGCACTTTTTGATCAGTGACAGCGCGGACGCCACAGCACTGCGATCATGGATCCCGCTGCGACCATCGCTGCAGTTGTGGCCGTTCTCAACGCCTCGCACCTTATCATACACCTTTCCCTGAGGCAGATGCAGAGAAATCAGGCGAGGAGGCTACGGCACCGCCGTGAGGGCCTGAAGTCGGAGAGTAGCACAGAGCTGTCAGAAACCACGAGCCCCAGCGCCCAGGACATCACGGTGGCAATGGGGCATGTGGATTTTGTTGAACGGCGATTCTGGGCCCGGGAAACAAGCACGGACTGGTGGGACCGCATAGTGCTTCAGGTCTGGGATGAATCCCAGTGGCTGCGAAACTTTCACATGCGGAAGGGGACTTTCCTCGAACTTTGTGAGTTGCTGTCCCCTGCCCTGAAGCGCAAGGACACCCGCATGCGAGCAGCCCTGACTGTCCAGAAGCGAGTGGCCATAGCCCTCTGGAAGCTTGCAACGCCGGACAGCTACTGGTCAGTCGCGAACCACTTTGGCGTGGGCAAATCTACCGTGGGGGTTGTTGTCCTGCAAGTAGCCAAGGCAATTGTCAAGGTACTGCTGTCAAAGGTAGTGACCCTGGGAAACGCGCAGGCCATCATAGATGGCTTCGCTGCGATGGGATTCCCAAACTGCGGTGGAGCTATAGATGGGACTCACATCCCTATCCTGGGACCGGGCCACCAGGCCAGCCAGTACATCAATAGAAAGGGCTACTTTTCAATGGTGCTGCAAGCACTGGTGGACCATCGGGGACGTTTTACAAACATCAACGTCGGATGGCCGGGCAAGGTTCATGACGCTCGCGTGTTCAGGAACTCTGGTCTGTTTAGACGGCTGCAGGAAGGCATTTACTTCCCGGACCACAAGATAACTTTTGGGGATGTGGAGATGCCTACAGTGATCCTCGGGGACCCAGCCTACCCACTAATGCCCTGGCTCATGAAGCCCTATACTGGCGCCCTGGACACTGCACAAGAACTCTTCAACTACCGGCTGAGCAAGTGCAGAATGGTGGTGGAGTGTGCTTTTGGCCGTCTCAAGGGGAGATGGAGAAGCTTACTGACTCGCTGTGATCTCAGCGAAACCAATATCCCCATCGTTATTGCAGCTTGCTGTGTGCTCCACAATCTCTGTGAGAGCAAGGGGGAGACCTTTATGGCGGGGTGGGAGGTTGAGGCAAATAGCTTGGCTGCTGAATACGCCCAGCCAGACAGCCGGGCGATTAGAAGAGCCCAGCGGGACGCGCTGTGCATCCGGGAGGCTTTGAAAGCCAGTTTCAAGGCTGAGCAGGGTACCCAGTGACTTTTCAGTTTGTGGACACAGAAGCTGAACTTGCCTCCGTTTCTTTACCCAGTTGCCGTCGACTATCCTCTCCAGTTACATACCCCCTTCACCTCCTTCCCAAAAAATAAAATCTGTTCTGTTTTGTTAATGGACACCGTTGTCTTTATTACTGTTTTCGCGGGAATGTTTTAAACCTGGGACGCAGACTGTGGCGGGGGGCGGGTTTAGTGTTGTGATGCAAATGATGCTTCTAAACTCCAGGAATGACAGGCTCCGCGGTGGTAGACTGGTTGTTTCAACGGAGCCTGCCAGCCCTCCTGGCCGGGATTGCGTGTATGTGTCGGCTATGTGACTGTCTTGCAGGGGGAGGAGGGTTACAGATCCCCTGCTGCGCGGCTCTGTGATCCAGGGTAAGGACCGCTGCATAAGATCTGTAACTGCCCTCCCCCGCCACAAAGTCACAGAGCAACACCCCCCCCCCACCACACAGAACATGAAAACCACCTCCCAGACTGACCAGGATAACTAGTCACTGCACTGTATATGTGCCCTGCTCCTGGACCTGCCCCCTGCTAAAGGTGACTGTCCTGTCCAATTACCAAGCCCCTTCCCCCCCCTTCAGACAGACTCTCCTCCAAAAGAAGAGGATGGAGACAGTAATGAACAGAAACGTATTTTTTATTAACAACCGCACATGGAACGGGGGGGTGAAACTTGGACGGGGTCTTGTGTGAGGCGGGTAGGAAAGGACTTTTCAAATTTTGGGGAATGAGAGCCTTCTAGTGGTAGAGCAGTCCGCAGGGGTGGAGTGAAATTTTTCACGGCCCCTTCTGCCCCTCCGTGTTTGGACTTTGGGTGAGGGGGGTATGGGACTTGGTGGCGGGGCAGGGCAGTTAGAGAGAGACTGCAGCGGGGCTTTCTCCTCCTGCCTCCGGTCCTGCAGAACATCCACAAGGCGGCGGAGCGTGTCCGTTTGCTCCCTCATTAGTCCAAGCAGCGTTTGAGTAGCCTGCCAGTCCTCCTGTCGCCACCTCTCCTCCCGTTCAATGTTTGCCCGGTGCATTTGGGACAATGTGTCTCCATTGTGTCTGCTGGGCTGCCTGTGCTCGGGAGCATCCCATTAGTTCAGCAAACATGTCTTCCCGTGTCCTCTTCTTCCTCCTCCTAATGTGCGCTAGCCTCTGGGCAGATGGGGCTGTGGGAATTGGAAAAAGGGAGTGAATTCCTGAGACAGATCAATGTATCTGTGAACAGAGAACATAGTCTTTCTCTGTGAACAAGACCATGCAGAGCACCTATCACACGCGCACTGAGGACAAGGTCGAATTTTCGGCCCTTGCCTACAGTGCCTGCGGTCTTGCTGTGGCGAGCTGAGGAGCAGGGCAGGACACCGGACTTTGTCTAGATGGCAAACATGGTAAGCCGTAGACTTGTGGCTGCTTAAAACTTTAAGAGTGGCACTGGCCTCCTTTCACATAGAAAGCAATGCGAGTCTCTGCTGGCAGCAATCCTGCAAGCATGAACTCTGGCCCTGTCCCACCCCCTCGCGGCTGTAAACCGCGTGGCTGTAAACCGGCGGTTGCAGTTCTGTAAAGGGACGGGCAAGCAGTCCCAATACTAACTTTCCCCTACCTAATTCACAGCAGGGAGTCATGCCAGACATCACCCTCCTGAAGGTCTCGGAGAGCCAGAAGGAGCGGATGCTTCGGGACAGCCTGCAGAAACCGGGGCCATTTGCTGCAATGCTCTGCAAGGCCATGATCCCCGAGTACCTGCTGGCGTTGTGGCAGGGAAACGTCTCATACCACGGGGGGCCTAATAAGCTCTCCCTGCCCAGGAACCTGCTCATGAGGCTTGAAAAACACCTGCAGGAGACCTATGAGGAGTTCTCCCCGGAGGATGTCGCCTCTATCCCCGGATACATTGACCAGTTTTTGGCTTAGGTGCCCTTGGAGGGACAAAAGAGTGCAGCGTTTGGGGCAGTATAATCATGAAGCGGACATTGTGAAATTTTTTGAAAATAGACTATATATTGAAGCGCCCAAAGACAGACTAATCATGATACACTTTGCACAGATTCCCGTTTTGTTGGACTTTCCTGTTTACATGGTTTTGAAGCACTTTACCCACTGTTAATATTTTAAATCTTCCTGTTCTGTTTTAAATAAATGTTTACATGTTTGAAAGCACTTTAGCTATTGTTAATATTTTAAATATGCCAGTTATGTTATAAATAAATGTTTAGATATTTAAAACACTTACTGCTTGATCCTTCCCCTGAATCTGTGTCTGGGATAACGGCTGGGGAGGGTTGGTAGGGGATCTCTGTCAGGGTGATGAAGAGCTCCTGGCTGTCGGGCAAATCAGCGTTGTAAGCGCTGTCGACTGCCTCGTCCTCCTCATCTCCTTCCTCCTCTTCCCCGTCCGCTGAGGAACCGGCCGCGGACAATATCCCATCCTCAGAGTCCACGGTCAGGGGTGGGGTAGTGGTGGCGGCCGCACCTAGGATGGAATGCAGTGCCTCGTAGAAACGGGATGTGTGGGGCTGGGATCCGGAGCGTCCGTTTGCCTCTTTGGTCTTCTGGTAGCCTTGTCTCGGCTCCTTGATTTTCACGCGGCACTGCGTTGCATCCCGGCTGTATCCTCTCTCTGCCATGGCTTTAGAGATCTTCTCATAGGTCTTTGCATTCCGTCTTTTGGAGCGCAGCTCGGAAAGCACGGACTCATCTCCCCACACAGCGATGAGATCCAAGACTTCCCGATCCGTCCATGCTGGGGCCCTCTTTCTATTAGATTGCACGGCCATCTCTGCTGGAGAGCTCTGCATCGTTGCCACTGCTGCTGAGCTCGCCACGGTGTCAAAACAGAAACTGCGATTCAAACTGCCCAGACAGGAAAAGGAATTC